AGATGGTTACAGCCACTCCAAGAATCCCTTCCAGACATAGAAAGAGATTTTCTTCCTAATGCATCTCTTTTAAAAGGAAAACAAACTTTCCCAGTAGTCCTCTAGCAGATATTTTGTCCCGTTTCGTTGACTGGAACTAAGTACCATGCAAACCACTAAGAATCACTAAAAAGAAGGATAAAAACAGACTTGGAGCAATTCAATTTACCTGAGTCACATAGGAAAGGATGGGCAACAGAACAAAAGTCAGGACTCTGCTGCATGGGAAAAGGGAAAAAATGACTCAGTGTCAATCAGCAGTGTTTCCCTCAAGCACTTTAGTTATCCTCGAACAAGGAGTGATTGATGCAGAACTATTTCCCAGCTGAAAAGATGAGTGGTTTATTCTGAGTCCAGTTGAGTTTCCACCAAATTCAAAAGCCAGAGAAGGGACATGGATGAGTGGTCTTAAAGTAATTTAATAATAATTAATTGAACCAAGATTGAACATTGGGTGTTAAAGTTGAATTCCAAAGCAAAGACCTTCAACCCATTAGAGTCTACACTCTGGGGAATGACATTGGGAAGAAATGGTGTAAGTCTTTTAAAGTCAGAAGATCACAAACTGTCTATATCCCATATTTAAAAAGCAAATTCTCTGTAAGGAGCTGACCATAGCTGGGTTTGATGGGTAGATAAGCACTGAGCTGGCTGGAGATGGTGTACCATGAATGTGGGGTGCATCTGCTTTGTGTATGCTGCACCTACCTTGGTATTATGATGACCAGTTCACCACTGCTACACACGCATGATGTCCTCAAGTCAGCTCTGCACTGTTCCAGCAAGCTGGCTGGGCAAGTCAAGATTTGAAAGCATGGGGAAAAAAATGTGTCTAATCTTCAGGAAGTTTTCAGGTTAGAGAGAGTGGAAAGATAGAGAAAGAACAGGTTGCAAGAGAAGAAACAGAGAGATATAGATGGGAAGTGAGGCAAAGGAAGAGGAGAGAAGAAGAAGAAAAAAAAAGAACTGTTTTAAATAAATCAGAATGCCTCTTTCTTCTGCTTAAAATCCTTTAACACCCTTCTAGTTAATACTAACAATTATGTTTGCCCTTTTTCTAAGCTGCAGAGCTCTGAGTTTTGTTCTGTATCTACCTATATCTTACATGACTTAGGCAATCTAACTGAATTGATTGAATCTGTCCCATTTTCCTTTCTGTGGTGATTTTAGTGGTTGGCTTGTGGCTCAGTTCTACTCAATGATTTAAGAGTTTAAAGGTCAACCAAGGGTCTTAGCAGCGTTTAGCATGGTTTGCATTTCCTCCATACTCTTGTCCCTGACAGCATTTGTGGTTTCATCTCACACCCCTTACACCCTTCATCTCTGTTTCGACTACACAACTTTTTCTGTCACCCCAAAGTGTCACAATCTCTTGATTCTAGAATTTGTGCTTATTCTATTCCCATTTTCCTCCCTCCCACAACACCTTTCTCTCTTTATTTAAATATCACTTCTTCAAGAAGGACTAGGCTAGATCAGGTTGCCATATATATTCCCATTAGCACCCTTGTCTTCATTCATTAAGTCATGCAAAAAAAAATTAGTGTTTTCTGTTGTCAGTCAGATTGCCAAGTGTTGTCTATGGGATAATCAGTCATCAAAACAGGCAGGGCTCTTGCACTCACTACATTTGTGATTACTCAATGAATGTCTGTCTTTCCAGTTGTACCAGAAACCTCTCTGAGGACAGAAATCTGTCTGTTGTATGTTTCACTAATTTGCCAGCTTCTGAAATAGTATCTAGCACATAGTAGGTATCCAATAAAAAGTTATTAAATGAATATGAATAAATATGTGTAAACAGGGAATTGAGGATCCTTAGACAATGGAAGTATCTCTAACTGAGCCTGATGAGTAAAACATTTCTGCTAGGGTGACCAACTGTCCTGTTGTTTCAGTTTGGGGATTGAAGGGTTTCCCAGGACTTGGGACTTTCAGTGCTAAAGTTAAGAAATTCCTGAGCAAGCCAAGACTTGGTCACCCTATTTTTGACCCTCCAACCCACAGGATCTCCTCTAGTTGTCTTCACCTGCCACTCTTTTCTACCCATAATTAATCTGCTAGGAAAATCTTTCCATTCTGCCTTCAAATGAAAAGAAATATTTCCAGCTTTGCCATTGTTTCCTTAAAAGGTAGATTCTCAATGTTGGGAGGTTGAGTATTTTACCACACAAATTTTAAACTCTAGACCCTTCGTTTTTGGTTAGAGTGAAAGCTGTTGAAGACTGTGTTCAGCCATTTGTACTCATCATCTTTTCCAGTTTTCCTTAGCCTCTTCATTTATTTGCTTATTGTCTGCTACTAAGACTGTCCAAGCAGTACAGTGTGGGTGCAGAACTTCTCATCCTTACAAGGGTATCCAAAATCAAATCACTCTAGAGGTGCAAAATAAGCCAATACATTCAACAAAGCATGGATCATTGTGCTTCTTGGTTTCCTATTTCTGAGACACTTCCAAACAAGTCTTCTGCAGCCTCTATCAAGCAGTGTTTTTCTTCCACATTGAAACCCTGAAAGAAAAAAAGGGAAAAGCAAAGGTCTATCTCATACACGGGTACACATTTGAACCTTCAATGGATTTTTTGCTCCAAGAACTGAAATTTACTCTTCATAGAAATGATGGAATCCTCTGAAAATGACCCAAAAGGCCAATGAAGATGCAAATTGCAGTCCACTTTTTGTTTGTTCCAAGGCATAGGGAAGTGGAATAAAACTCTTAGCCCTGGTCAGAACTCCAATATTCTGATTCCTTTTAGTATTCTCGCTACTCAACGTCACCATGATACAGCATCTATGTGTGCATGTGTCAGTGTATTGTTTTCAAATTTGATTTTTATTTAAATATTAACATTGAACATGTTTTAAATAGACACTCAGAACAAGTCTATACAAGGAGGCAGGTGTTCAGCTTTTTATTGATGCTGACTGGTAGGACTGATATATTAACAGTTACTGTCAATAAGGAAGAAAACACACTTGGCAGATTTTAAAGGTAAATCCCCTTCTTAAGGCATTTTATGGGTTCTTTCAAAACACATACTCTGGGCATATCACTGGGGCCTCTCCCCTCTAGTGTTTCTAGCATGAGCAATGGCAGGTCTCGGCTTTTGAAAATCAGGTAGTCTGCCTACCTTCCTTCTGGGATCATCTTTGACCATATACCTGGTCTTCGTGAAACAGTCAACACATGCGCCACTCTTTTTTTATATATAACTTTTTATTTTAAAGATGTGAGATACAATGCAGGGTTAGGTATACAAATGTTCATTATGCAGGTACCCTTGATGAGGTGGGAACCCATCCTTTGGCAGTTTCCCACCACTGCCAATCCCCCCCCCAACAGCAGTTTTCCACTACTGCCAGTCCCACCTTCCCTCCCTTGCCAGTTTCCCACTACTGCCAATCCGTTTCTTATAGTATTATGATAATTGTTCAAGGTCTGCTTATGAGTGAGAACATATGGTACTCTGTTCTTTGTTTCTGTAGTAGATCACTGAGTATGATAGATCCAAATCCATCCAAATTGCTGCAAAGTCCATATGTTTGTCCTTCTTTATGGCTGCACAATATTCCATTTTGTATATGTACCACATTTTTTTAATCCAGTCCGGTTTCGATGGACAGTACAGTTGGTTCCATGTTTTTGCTATTGTGAATATTCATGCTCTACTCTTACAAATTAACTCCTCTTCACTGTTTGAGTCTCTTTCTAGTCAAGTTTCTCACACAATAAATTTCTGAAGCATGAGTCGGATACCAGTCCATTGTTATACCCTGAGTTACAGGAGTCATAAATCAAGTTCTTTAAGTGATCTCTTCATGTCTCTTATTTGATGTGATGGAAGAACCCACTATGGTGGCTCTTGGAGCCCTGCTCACATCCTGTTCATTAGGCAGGTACACCCATCTCCTGGTTACTATGCTAGCTACTAGCAACTCACAGCTGCCCTTCTCAGGGAGGCCTCTGTTAGAGAGCAGGAGCTGTTTCACCTGAAAGACTGATTGACATCGAATCCAAAAGGCCAGACTCCTTGCTTCAAAGTGAGACAACTCTGTGATGCAACTCATGCTCCAGAGTTACAAGGGGGATCAGGCTGAGCTAGTCTCCAGCTGAGACCCTATCCTTGCTTGGCCCCTTCCCCTATCCAATCCTTCATCCCTCACTTCCTGCCTTCTGAGAACATCCACTCAGTAAATCACTTGCACAAGGATCCCTGTCTAAGACTCTGTTTCTAGGGCATCCAACCTAAGACATCACCCATCACCCATGAAAGCAGATCAGTCAGGAGAAACTTGCAACACTGACAGTTCTCTTCACAAACCTCTTCTAACTCTCATCTGGCCATAGCCACCCTGAAGTGGCCTGTAGGTGATGAGTGGCAAGGGCATCCAAATGGATTTTTACCACCTCCTTTGTTGAGTCTTGCACAGGTGGCCTTACTTTGGCGTATTGGAAGCGTTCACATCTATTTGCTTGGAGCTAGGAATGAAATAATTCCCTTTGACTTTCTGATGTTATATGGGGCACATATAAAATTCCAAGCACGTGACAGGAATCTGATGAATGATGGCTATTATTTTGGTTCTTTAAAATAATATATTGAGAACTCATTGCATGCCACATGCCAGACTCTGTGATAAACATTATTATCTCATTCTGTCCTCACAATGACTCTTTAGGGGGTCACAGTATTGTTAATCTTCATTTTATTGATCCTCATTCATAAAGCTAAATCTCAGAAACCATTCAATATCTGGGCTTAGTTCCAAACCCAGGTTTCTGCCTAATTTTTTTTTTTCCAAGCTTTTACTCACAGTGCCAGTTTCCCACTCTGAAACTGCTCTCCCTTTTCCAATGTGTTGCTGCTATGACCTCAGTCAGCAATGATTCAAGTTGCAAGTTCCAGCTTCTTTCTCATTGACCCTAAAGTCTTTCATTTTTTTTTCTTCCTGGCAACCAGATCTGTGTGAGTTCTGAAGATGAACAAGATGGTTTTATGAGAGTCCTCAGTGGAAAGAAGAGAGGCCTCATCCCCCTCGATGTCCTAGAAAACATCTGATTATGACCCCTCCTCCTTTTGCAGTAGGCAAGCTCTGCTGCAATGCCGTCTGCCTCATCTCACACTGTGTCAACCCAGAGGAGCAGCCGCACTAACCCGGCCCCTGCAGGAAACAGTGAGACAAGACTCAAGGATCAGAGACTGTGGAGTAGCCACAAAACAGAAGGCCCGCCGCACAGCTCATTCAGGCTGCCCAAGGTGGGGACGAGGCTGAGAGAGTCGACTGGCAGAGCCATGCATAGCAGCAGCAGTAGGGCTGTGAGCCACAGCTGTCCCCCAGGACTAACTCCCTCCTTGTCCATGTGGTATAAGTTAACCTGCTGGAGAGTGCTCCAGTTTGCGGGGTGTCCCCAATGTGAGGTTCAGATTCATATAGCCAAGAGTTATTCTGGTCCCAGACCCCGGTCCCCAGTACCGGTCAATCAGTACCATCGCATTTCAGGCCCCCAGCATCAGGATGCTTTGCAGAGCGTCAAGAAGGCCTACTTCCTAGCACCCGACATTGCTTCCCAGGACCCCTTACTTTGCAATTGTGCTGCCGAGAGTGGCTGATTTGTTCTTTCTTTCTCTTTGGTTCTCTGAGTACGTCCTGATGATGTGCATTAGATGTGAGAGCTACATTGACATGGCACCAACTACAAAGACCTGAACTGTCCAAAGGTTGTTGATAAGCTGTCCTTCTGCTTCTCAAGTTGCCAATGGGGTTAACAGAGCAGGATAAGAAGCATAGATACAGAAGGAGGGGAAAGTGGGGGCAAAGTGAGCAAAGAGCCCTTATTTATTGAAGATTATACAGCCCTTTCAGTAAAAAAACCCTTTCCTGAAGGAGATGGAACTTAAGAAGAAAATGTGGCTAAAAGTCTCTATTTCACTGTAAATCCTCTGTACTGGAGGCAACATTTTCCCTTCAGGACTCCATTTTGGAAGTTGAGCCTACCTTGCAGGGAACCAGGAACATGGAGAGCAACCAACAATAGCATCTTAGAAGAAGTGTTGCCAAATTGGAATCATTCTTCTTTAGGACAGTATATTATTAAACCCTAGCTATTGTAAAATGGAAAAGAGTCCCAATGCTTCATCCCTCTGAAAGCAGAGGAACTTGAAACCTATTTAGCATCATCTAGGGGAATCCTTGTTACTCTGTACTTGTACTAATGTTTACAAGAATGCAATATACTGTGATGCCTTCCTCCCCAAGCCTCCTCCTAGCATTCAAACTTGCATCCTATTAGTCATTAATATGGTTAACTTCAATTTGCAATGGCCTTGGAATCAATATCAGTTTGATGTATTTTATTACAGAGCAATAAAATCATTAGGACAATGGTTTTTAAATGACTTCGGTGGATGCATCCTATGCATGTAAGCATTATTTCCCAAACCAAAGCATCATAAGTCTCTCTCATTTTTTTTCCTACTGAGTGTGAAGTTGGAAACTGAGAGGCGCTGGCTGCTGGTTTCACAGAAGTTTGGATGCCTTACTCTTATTTTAAAGCCAACATCCAGAATTTCCCTCCTCTCTAATGCCACATGCAAAGTCAGGTGTACAAAGTCAAGATGGAGTCTTTGAGAGCCAGGATTCTTTGGATCATATGACTGTCTTTCTGTAAAATTAAATGCCAAGTAAAAAAACTCTTTGCCTCTAATTCAATATCCTATTTAATAAAGATAACACAGTGGCTGGAAGGAGCATACAAATCATGTGTCCTGATTTCTTCCTTCTGTTGCAATATTCATCGAAGTTTTTTGGTACAGTGTTGTCATGTCATATGCACATTTAATTGCATTTTTAAAAATTCAGTTTGACTTTTGAGGTTGAATAAAGGGAGAATATAGTAGCCAACCTGCAAGATAGTTGCTCAATGATTCCTAACGCCTCATATCCTTGCCTTTGTGTAGTCTTCTCCTATACTGAATCAGGGCTGATTTTATGTGACCAATAGAATACAGCAGAAGTAATACTACATGACTGTCTTGGCTCATCTTCTGTAGCTGAGACTGGAGAATTTGCAAAAGAAAGGATATTTATTTGGCTCATGATTCTAGAGGTAGGAAGTCCAAGAAGCATGGTGCTGGCATGGTGCAAGCATGCTGCTTGGCTTCTGGTGATGGCCGCATGCTGCTACATAACATGGTGGAAAAGCAGAATAGAAAGCAGATATGTACACACAGAGAGAGAGAGAGAGAGAGAGAGAGAGAGGGAGAGAGAGAGACTAAACACAAGGAGCAGCCTCAATTTTTAACAACTTGCTCTTGCAGTAACTAATTTAGTCCCACAAGAATAAGAACTCACAACTACAAGACAACATTAATCTATTTATGATGGATTCCCCCCATTATGACCCAAACACTTCTTATTAGACCCCAACTCCCAACACTGCCACATAGTAATCAAATTTCAACATGAGTTTCAAAGGGAACAAGTCATATTTAAACCATAGCAGTGGCATCTGAGGCTAGGTCAAAAAAGTCCTTGATCTCCTGGAACACTCATTCTTGGAACCGTGGTATATTATAAGACTCTTACCTACCCTGAGGCCACCATGCAAGAGAGACCCAGTAGAAAGACCACACATTTCAGCAGCTGAGATCCCATACCACAGAGCAGAGATGAATCAGTCCTGCTAAGCCCTGCCCAAATTACAGATTTGTGGGCAAGATAACTTTGTGGGAACTTTCTAAATCACTAAGCACTGGAGTGATTTGTTATACAGAAACAGATAACTGGGCAACCCCTTCGGGTCCCCTCTCACTGTGGGAGCTTTTCTGTCCTCTCAATAAATCCTGCTTTCAAAAAGAAAAAAAAGAGAGAAAGAAACATTACTGAAGCAAGGACTTTGTAACTTGAGTCAATGTCATAAAGAAAAAAAATTCTTACTGCACAATGAGGCCCAAAACTTTGCAATCATCAAGTATTGGCAGGCAATTAACCCTGCAGATACAAAATGTCTAGTGTTTCATAAAGATTTGGCATCATTCAGACATAAGGGAAAAGGCAAGATACTCCTCATAGCATAGATTGTCAGGAATGTTTCCACATACACAAATTTTAGGAGCCAGAGTTTTCCTCTGCTCCTGCCTGTCTGGAGAAATGATAAGCACAAGGATAGCTATGACCTACCAAAGTTTTAAAGATTTCCAAAACCAAAAAAAAAAAAAACTGAAAGAAAGACCACAGTTTTTGAATGGAGACGAAATGAAGATCTTAAGAGACGGATTCCGGTGAGGAGACAAAGATGGAGGGGAAAGTATCGATATGAAGAATCAAAATGGGGTCTAGAAAATATTCTTTATTATGTAAGTCTTGTGTTCCCTCACCACCTGCCCCTGCCTCCAGCTAAGGGAGGGTACACGTCTAGTTAAACCAATGAAACTGTGCATTATACTTCACCACAAATACTATAGAACTTGTATTTTTCATAGTAAATTTAAAATGAAGAACTGATTAAAGCTTCCTCAGAGCTCCAAGAGGTAGAGAATAGAATGGTTTTTTTACCCCCATCGCTAGCAGATGGCTACGGCACCTTTAATGTAGGCAGTGGGGCTACAAAGAGAGCCCATATTTAGATGTCCAGATGGCTACCAGTAGGATTGATTTCACAGACCACTTTTCCTCCACTACAATACACCAAACACACACACACACACACACACACACACACACACACACACACACACACACATATATCAAGTGGAAGAGTCTGGCATGTAGGATGCATATTTAAAGCAAGTGGTGGAGTGGCACATGGTAGAAGCTTGTTCTTTGGTATTAAAGGGAGAAAAATAAAACCAAGGAGATCGTAACACACAAAGATATGTTGGTGCCAAATATAGTTAAAAGGCCAAGAAAGGCACCCCTCAAATTTAAATGATGGTCCAGGTAACTGACTACTCCAAGAAGAAGAGGAAGAGGAAGACCCAAGAAGGAAGTCTACTGACCAGCCTCAACCTAGAGCCTGGCTCAGGCAGAGATGCAGCTGTGAAAAAGTGTTGTGTGTGCAAATAAAAGCTTAAATTTAAATAAAAGAATGTTACTTCTTTACTCAGTACTTCTAAAAGCCTTTAATTTGCTAAATCTTATGATAAATCCTCAAAAGGGGGATTTGAAATTGTTAAGCACCTATTAGAACAACATTCCAAGGAATATAGTTTGGAAAAGTCTGCAGTAGTGAATTATCATGTGATACAGGATCTCCTAATAGCCCCAGTGCCCTCCTCAAATCCCTTCTCTTCCTACATCTCACTGAGATACCTATAAAGTATTGAAAAGGACAAAAGCACAAAATCATAATAGTAAGTAAGGCTAATGACAATCTACTCCAGCCTCTGAGTCTGCAGAGAAATAAAGTAAAGTGGGAACTTGTGTACTCCAGGGCTGAAAAACTCCAGAGGAAGAGTAGTTTTATCACACTGATAGCTTTAGCTAACTTTCACCAGCAGGGAGTAGGATGTATAAATCTGGGAATAAAAGAAAGTTTAGCATTGCCCAAAATAGCAACCTTAAGAAACTGAGTGAGCAGGTGCACTCCACAAACTTATCACAAAACAAAAACTCTTAAAAATTACTCAGACAGAAAATTAAAGCTAGTTTAATGAACATCCTGTAACTGTCTCCTATGTTTTTCTCAGTTGCCATTTTGTTGTGTGTTATATACAACACCTGGTGTTTACCCTTAGAACATGTTTTTGCTTAGCTTCCAAAAAAGAGTTTAAAATAATCTTCAATCTTTAAAAGAGTCTTCAATTTTTACCCATACCTTGAAATCTTGGCAAGATAATAGCAATTTATTTTGAAACTATTAGCTCTCTTTTGAAACTTTTTTTTATCATCTTGTTGTGAAGCTTAGAACATCTTCCAGGTCTTCATGGAATCAGGACATACTGAAGTCCTGAAAATACACCCTGGAAAAGTACAAGACCTATTTCCAAGAACATGCATCATCATTAGAATTCCTCCACTGGCATTATTTACTCAGGTTTTCAGGTTACTTGCCTGATCCCATCTTTTTCTATGCGTGGTAAAATTTTTCTTTGTCTATCTTCTCCTTTACCAGCATCTTGAAAATCGTGTGCTTAGTTCATATGCTTTTATTTTTACTGAGTTTTTAAAAATCATCCAAGTTTATAAATTGTCCTCTGAGTTCATAATATACATATGAACTTATTATAGATAGCTATTGGCCATATTATAGATAGTTGCTTCCATTTTCATTCATTTCTAAATAGTCTGTAATTACAATTTTAATTTTTCTCTTAGATTTTTTTATTGTGTGCATGTTGGAATAAAACTACTGTGCATTATGATCATAAAATATGGTTTCTACTTTGAAGAACTAATTGGCATGTTATTTTGTGCTCTAATATATGATTCATCTCTATAAATGTTCAATGAATGCTGGGGGAAGCATCATTTTTACAGTATATAAAGACCAATGGGTATCTATTAAATAAAACCTTAATGAGTATAAGTTACTATATTCTCACTTATTTTTGCTCATGTGCTCTGTCAAAAACAAGAACACGTAACAGTGGGGCTGCAATAATCTTGCATGGAACTCCAACAACTTCCTTAGAACCAGCCTTGGAGGGAAGAAATAGCAGCCAGTGGTCTCCACTACAGCCTCCCTTCTACATGTGGGATGAATCACTTAGGTAATTTTCTAAGTAAACAATCCCTTTAACTCCCCAGAGCATACTGTAAAGGAACCACTTTTAAGTGAACAGTTTCCAAATGTATTCTTAGAAAACTTCAATATTGAATGCAGAGAACTTGAGTCACGGAATTTTGATACAAAATAAAAATTACAATGAAATCCATAATCATTGCTGAAAAGGTGGTAATGGTTGTTCTAAGAAACTCAAAGAACCTTATGAGTTTCTAATCATAACACATTGTATTTGTTTTCTTTCTTTCATATTGGGTATCTGAGAAGTGAAATACTTAAATATATCTTCCAATGGAGTGGTAATCCTAGAAGCACATAGCCAAAGCCAAAGGAGTGCATTTCTAAAATACATTCTAAAGTAAGTTTTCAAAAAGCTGGTAAATGGAGAAGGTAAACAAAGAAAAAGTAGGTTCAGGGTAAGCAATCTTATCCTGATAAGAATACCTCCTGCAGGGTAAGAATTCATTTATTCTTGACAACAATTCTGGGAACCAAGTCTTATTGTCCCCATTTTGCAGATGAAGAAACAGAGTTTCAGAAAGATTAGATCATTTGCCCAAGGTCACATAACTGATGAAAGGCAAAACCAGGTTTTGAACACGTAACAGCATTTCTAGTACTCCTAAGTGGCTGACTACTGAGAAGATTTTGTTGTAAAGTTAAATGTTGGAGTCGTTAAATGATAATCAGGCAATAATTATTATAAGTACCATGCCTTACTACATAGTTCATTGTTAATTATTTTCATGATCATAGTAATAATTTCAAGTTAATGAATTTATACATGATCATAGTAAAAAGCATACAGTGATGTAGAGATGTTTCCAGAAGATTTTCATTACACTTATAAATTTCCTAGATCCATGGGACACACCCTCAGCCTTGCAAACACAGAAATCTGATATGCCAGTGCAATGAGGAGAACTCCACCTGTCATAGTATCCTTGCATTTGCCAACCTCAAAAAAACCATATAAGTCCAGAATAATAATTTATGAATTGTCATTTTAAAATTTAGTTACTATGGT